CACTTTGGGAGGTCGAGGTGGGTGAATTATCTGAGGTCAGGAGTTCAAGACCAGCCTGGCCAACATGGTGAAACCCCAAATCTACCAAAAATATGAAAAATTAGCCAGGCATGGTGGTGCATGCCTGTGGTCCCAGCTACTCGGGAGGCTGAGTTGGGAGGATCTCTTGAGCCTAGGAGGTCAAGGCTGCAGCGAGCCATGATTGTGCCACTGCACTCTAGCCTGGGCTACACAGCAAGATCCTGTCTCTAAAAATAAAATAAAAAATTCAAATTAAAGTGAGAAACCTGGCTCCCACCGTCTTCCATCCATTGCCATAGTTCTTGAATTCCGGTATAAAGGTGGAGAGGTTTCAGAATCATTCACCCCTACCCTGGTGGGGAGTGATCTTATCAATCAGAGTACAGCGCTTATGTGTGCTTCCTTTTGCTTTTAGTCTGACAGATGCCACTCATTTCCAGAGTGACTGAGATCAGCCCCTTTCTCCCTGACCCCCTTCAGTAAGGCTGTTTTGTACATTTCTGTTCCTTTTTTGTTTGTTTGTTTTGTACATTTCTAATTGCCTTTTGTCGCAGTCTGCATTCCGTCTTGTGATCTCCCAACCTTCTAAAAGATTATTTTAAAAGGTGCCTATTTTAAGTTCCCTCTGTCTGCTGTAAAGTTCTGTGGGTTTTGACATATTCAGAGTGTCACGTGTCCACCATTACAGCATCATACAGAAGTTTCCTTGCCCTACAGAATCCCTGTGCTGCCCCTAGTCAAGCACGATCCCCTCTCTCAGACCCCTGGCAACCGTGGATCTGTTTTCTGTCTTTTTTTCGTCTATTTTGCTTTTTCGGGAATGTCATGTCAGGTAAATGGACTCATAGAGTAGGCAGCTTTGTCAGGCTTTTTTTTTTTTTTTTTGAGACGGAGTCTCGCTCTGCCGCCCAGGCTGGAGTGCAGTGGCCGGATCTCAGCTCACTGCAAGCTCCGCCTCCCAGGTTCACGCCATTCTCCTGCCTCAGCCTCCCAAGTAGCTGGGACTACAGGCGCCCGCCACCTCGCCCGGCTAGTTTTTTGTATTTTTTTAGTAGAGACGGGGTTTCACTGTGTTAGCCAGGATGGTCTCGATCTCCTGACCTCGTGATCCGCCCGTCTCGGCCTCCCAAAGTGCTGGGATTACAGGCTTGAGCCACCGCGCCCGGCCTGTCAGGCTTTTTACTCTGCAATATGTATTTAAGATTCACTTATTTCTTTGCATGGGTTCACAGCTTTTCCCTCTTTATCACTGACTAGTATTCTGTTGTCCAGATATACCACATTTTATTTGTTCACCTACTGAGGAACATCTTAAATGCTTCCAGTTTTTGCCAATTACGAATAAAGTTGCTAATGCTATCACATTGGTCTTTTAGGAAAAAAAAGGCTGCTATAAATATGTGTGTGGTGGTTTTTGTGTGGACATAAGTTTTCAAATCATTTGGGTAAATACCAAGGAGTATGATTGCTGAATTGTATGGTAAGAGTATACTTAACTTCGGAAGGAACTGCCAACCGTTTTTCAGGGTGGCTGTACCTTGTCGCATTCTCACCAGCAATGAATGGGAGTTCTTGCTGCTGCTCCAGGTCCTTGCCAGCATTAGGGTTGTCAGTGTTTGGGGTTTTGGCTATCTAGTAGGTATGCAGCGGTATCTCCTTGTGGTTTTAATTTGCAATTCCCTAATGATGTATAATGTTAAACATCTTCTGATATGCTTATTTTCCATTTGCATTTCTTCTTTGCAGAGGCATCTGTTCAGATCTTTTTTTTTTTTTTAGACGGAGTTTCGCTCTGTTGCCCAGACTGGAGTGCAGTGGCACGATCTCGGCTCACTGCAAGCTCCACCTCCCGGGTTCACGCTATTCTCCTGCCTCAGCCTCCCAAGTAGCTGGGACTACAGGCACCCGCCACCTCGCCCGGCTAGTTTTTTGTATTTTTTTAGTAGAGACGGGGTTTCACCGTGTTAACCAGGATGGTCTCAATCTCCTGACCTCGTGATCCACCTGCCTCGGCCTCCCAAAGTGCTGGGATTACAGGCGTGAGCCACCGCGCCCGGCCATCTGTTTAGATCTTTTGCTCATTTTTAAATTGGGTTGTTTTCTTATTGAGTTGGGGCTTTTCTTTTCTTTTCTTTTCGTTTTTCTGAGACAGTCTTATTCTGTTGCCCAGGCTGGAGTGTAGTGGTACAATCTCAGCTCACTGCAACCTCTGCCTCCTGGGTTCAAGCGATTCTCCTGCGTCAGCCTCCCGAGTAGCTGGGATTACAGGCACCCATCACCATGCCCAGCTAATTTTTGTATTTTTAGTAGAGACAGGGTTTCACCATGTTGGCCCAGCTGGTCTTGAATTCCTGACCTCAGGTGATCTGCCCGCCTCGGCCTCCCAAACTGCTGGGATTACAGGCGTGAGCCACCACACCTGGCATAAGTTTAATTCTCTTAGCAAGGCTATTTTTTAACTTTCTGCGGAAAGGTTACACTTGCCAGCAGTTTTGCCATGCAAGTACACCAAACAAAGGAGGGAAGCAATTTTTATCCCCTACGCAGTTTGTCCTTGCTACTGTGTCCTGTTTCCATTGGCTGGAGCCAGACCTCACAATCTAAACTAAAACCTGATTGGCTAATAGTTTAAAACTTTTAAAAATAGGTAAAAGCAATGGAAGGATAAAGGAAAAGAGGAAGTTGCTTACGAAATGACTTAGAAAAGTAATAATATTCCCAAACAGGAAAGGGACATAGGCTGCGAGCTGGGACATGCCTGTGAGCACGTCCAGCACAGATATCTTGGTTAAAGTACAAGGACACAGAATGTACTACGTGCCTGTAAGCATGTTTAACAGCTACATAGGATAGGGCTTAACAAAGAGTTACTAGCACAAAGCAAGGAGGCTTGAAGGAAGTTAGTCTTTAAAAGAAACTATTATTTCTAACACTTATGATTTATTTTTTAATAAGAAGGGAAACTTTGAAGAGGAACTTTTTACTTTCTACACTCCATCTCAAAAAAAGAAAAAAAGAAAGTGGGGTCTTGCTATGTTGCCCAGGCTAGGCTGGAACTCCTGGGCTCAAGTGATCCTCCAGCCTCAGCCTCCCAAAGTGCTGGGATTACAAGCATGAGCCACCTTGCCAGGCCGGAAGGTGTAATTCCTCTTGTAAACACATGATACAGGCCTGGTGCGGTGGCTCACACCTGTAGTCCCAGCACTTTGGGAGGCTGAGGCGGGCAGATCACCTGAGGTCAGGAGTTCGAGACCAGCCTGATCAGCCTGGCATGGTGAAACCCTGCCTCTACTAAAAATACAAAAATTAGCTGGGCGTGGTGGCGTGCACGTGTAGTCCCAGCCTACTCAGGAGGCTGAGACAGGGGAATTGCTTGAACCCAGGAGGCAGAGGTTGTAGTGAGCTGAGATTGCACCACTGCACTCCAGGCTAGGCGACAGAGTAAGACTCTGTCTCAAACAACGACAAGAACAACAACAACAATAACAAACCAAAAAACCCCATGATACAATGATTTAAAACAAAAATTGTGCCATCAGTTTTTACATGAGGCCAGGGGCATCTGAGTCACCTCGTGGACCAATACCTGCCCGTTGGCTCTTGTTTCCCAGGCCCACTTTGGAGGTGGGTGCTTTCCTTCTGGCCTCCAGTTTCCATCTGCTGCCCCTCAGAGAGGTCTCTTTGTGCCATCTCTGTCCACGTGGGCAGTTTTTATTACTCACGCCGCCATATTTCTCTGGGACACGTGGGCAGTTTTTTATTACTCACGCCGCCATATTTCTCTGGGACACAGAAATATGTGTATTTCTATTTCTTTTTATAACCCGGGACCATGTTGTAGAACTCTGCTAATGCTTCTTCTGGCTTGAGCAAAGCACCATTGGCATATTAGACATTCTGGGGAATTATCTGTAGGTATCTGTGAACAAATTGCACTTCCTGCTGTCATGAGAAGGGGCTCAGCATCAGTTCCATTCCTGTTTTTTTTCTGTTTTAGATGTCGGTCCCAGGAAACCCTGTTCACATAGATGAGCAGGTAGGACTGGCGCTTCTGAGTGCCGGGGTCCCTGGAGCCTTCTGCAGTGCCCTGGGAGGGTGACTGGGAAAGGCCAGGGGGCAAGAGCTGCCAGGGGCCTCCTCAGATTTCCCAGTTTTTACAGAGTATATATGGGAGTTGAGGTCTGGGAAAATGATTTTTAAAAAACTCTTCCTGCCCCGCAGACTCTCTTGAAGACTCTGTGTCATGCCAGGGCCCATGGGTCACTGTGAAGATTGGACCCTGCCACTTGATGGAACCCCTGTGATGCTGACCTGCGGGGATGTGGAGCACAGACCCTGGGGAGGGTACCAGAACCTCATGGGACTGGATGGCCGGCAGTGAGGGGCGTCCAGTAACTGTTGGATGCAGAATTGAATTCAGTCACCCGCACTTATTTCCTGTGCTCGTCTTGGCTGGGTTCGCGGAGATACACTCTCTAGGAGCAGACGCTTTGGTGGGGAAGACCAGGCGAAGAAGGTGATTTTTGCTGTTGGACGTTCTAAAGACAGGGCAGGGGTATGCGGGGAGAATTGGGAGAGGCAGAGCCAGGGAGGCCGGTTTGAGGAGGGGACATTTGAGCCGAGATCTGATGGAGTGAGGAGCCAAGCCAGGCAGATACCTGAGCGAAGAACATTCCAGGCAGGGGAGCAAAGGCTGGGACGCAGCTGCAAATGTGGTCCGGGTTAGGGCCAGTCAGGAAGCCAGTGGCCGGGAAAGGTGGGGAGGGGCCAGAGCAGTCATTAGGCCACCCCCTAAGGACTCATGCTTTGACTTGGATTGACATAGAGAGCTGCGGGAGGGTGACATGATCTCAATAAAAGGAATGCTCTGGCTGCTGGGTAGAGAAGAGAGTGAGGGTGAGGGATTAATGGTGGAGCTAGAGGGAGCCCAGTGAGTGCCGGGAGCCCAGGGTGGCAGAGCTGTGGTGCAGGGCTGCAGGGTCCTGGAGCTAGGGATGGAGGCTGTTTTCGGGCAAGTGGCCTGGTCGGCCTGTCCTCGGAGAGGCGGTGAAAGCAGAGACTGGAAGGCAGAGAGCCTTGCCGACCTGTGGCCGAAGAGAGCTCTCTGGGAGACAGCCACCGGTGGTGCAAAGGTCCTGGGGTCGGCCCAGCTGGGCCGCAGCTCCGGGAGGCGGCGCGAGAGAGCAGTGGGCCGGGCGGTGGCGGCCGGCGCCCGAGTCGGAGCCCGGCGATTGCCTTACAAGGTGCCCTGCGGCGCCGCGGCCGCGCTTGGCCACTGCGTGCTTGGGCGGCCGGCGGGGGCGTGCGCGGAGGGGGCGGGGCCGGCGGGAAGCGGGCGGGGGGCTTGGTGAGGCGGCCACTGCACTAAACGACGCTGCAGCACCCGCTCCAGGTCCGCACCTGCTTTGGGGCGCGGGGACGCGCGAGGCGGGGGCGCACCAGGTCTGGCCCACAGCCGCCACAGCCCTGCGCGCCCGCAGCACACCTGTCACGCCTGGCGCGCCCCCTGCCCGCTCGCGCTCGGTCCACGCAGCTCAGGACGCGTGCGGCCCAGGCTGCCAGGTCCCCCTGCTCCGCGGCGCCGAAGGCCGGGCTGCGTCTGCGGCCGCGTGGGTGGCCGCGGTCTTGGCAGGTGGCTGCGCGCGGGGGTCGCAGGTGCATCCCGGGCAGCTTGGTGGCTTCGGCAGCGGGTGCCTGTGGGCGCTGTGCCATGGGTGGCGGGTCTACGCGGGGGTGGGGGCGTGGGCTCTGTGGATGTGTGGATGGGGGAGGGACCGGCGTGGGTGAGCATGGAGCCTTCTGGAAAGTGGCCGGATGTGTGGAGGCAGAGAGGCAGCATCCAGGCGCTGGTCGCTGTCGGGGTGCAGGGTGTGGGGGCGTGGGATGGCAGCTGTAGGCCTGGGATGTGGAGGCGCGTTTGCGGTGGCCTCGCTGCAAGGCGTCCGTCTGGGGGTGTGGACCTGGACGGGGGAGGGGAGGGTCGAGCGCAGCGGCAACGGCTGAGGCCTGCCTGACAGGGGTGGAGGAGGAAGCTGCCCTCGCCTCCGGTGCGGGGGAGGGAGGAGGGACCCCTATCACCTCTCCCCTGCCCCTGCAGACATGCTGCTGCTGAAGAAACACACGGAGGACATCAGCAGCGTCTATGAGATCCGCGAGAGGCTCGGCTCGTGAGTGTGCGCGCGTGTGATCGTGTGTGTGTACCTGTGTGAGATGGCATGTGTGTGTGACTACGCGAGTGGGTGTGAGATGATGTGTGTGTGAATATATAAGGGTGTGTGAATGTGAGTGAGTCTGTGAGATGGCATGTGTTGAGTTTCGTGGGGGGTGGCACAGGGCCAGGTAGGGCCTCCCCATCTTCTTCACAGGGGGCCCTCCCCACTCCCCTCTCTCTCCCTCCTGCCTCTTTTCTCTTCCCACTTCCTTCCCACCTCCCACCGCTCGTGTCTGCGGCAGGGGTGCCTTCTCCGAGGTGGTGCTGGCCCAGGAGCGGGGCTCCGCACACCTCGTGGCCCTCAAGTGCATCCCCAAGAAGGCCCTCCGGGGCAAGGAGGCCCTGGTGGAGAACGAGATCGCAGTGCTCCGTAGGTGCGCACCTCACGGGGCCCTGGGATGTGGCATAGGTCGATGAGGGGTGCAAGGAGTCCCTGGTTCTAGTCTAGGCCTGGCCACCAACCTTTGGGAAGCCTGGGGCAGTGCTCTCTCTGGGCCTGCACGTCCCTGTGGCAGCCACAGGGAGCTAGTGGATATTGATCTGTGCTTTTCAAATGGGCTTTAGAAGGAAGGCCAGGGCTCAGGCTGGAGCTCCGCCTTCCTGGACCGGGCAGGGGTGGCATGTGGTAGGGAATGGGGAACAGAGGTGGGAGGAGGAGAAGAGGGAGGAGGCTTTTCCCGGGGCCTCAGGACAGAGCACCCCTTGACTCTGTTGGCCCACAGGTGCTTCCTTGCCGTTGCAGGATCAGCCACCCCAACATTGTTGCTCTGGAGGATGTCCACGAGAGCCCTTCCCACCTCTACCTGGCCATGGAACTGTGAGGAGGGCCTGGGCAGGCTGTGGGAGCCGGGGAGGGGCTGAGCAGTGAGTGGGGCTGAAGGCCAGGCTGAGTGCCTGGGTCAGCCAAACCCCTGGCACCCCCAGGGTGACGGGTGGCGAGCTGTTTGATCGCATCATGGAGCGCGGCTCCTACACAGAGAAGGATGCCAGCCATCTGGTGGGTCAGGTCCTCGGCGCCGTCTCCTACCTGCACAGCCTGGGGATCGTGCACCGGGACCTCAAGGTGCCTGGCTGGGGCCTCTGCGCCCCACCCTCCCACTTGCCCACCTGGCCCTGCCTTTGTTTTCCCGGGAGCACGGCTGGGGCCTTTCTTGATCTCCCACTCCACCAAGGCTCTGGGGAACCTGAGAGTGTGTAGTCCTCATCCTGTCCCAGCACCGGCACCGCATCAGGACTGACCTGGCCCTTTTCCCGGTGTCCGTGTGTCACAGCCCGAAAACCTCCTGTATGCCACACCCTTTGAGGACTCAAAGATCATGGTCTCTGACTTTGGACTCTCCAAAATCCAGGCTGGCAACATGCTAGGCACCGCCTGTGGGACCCCCGGATATGTGGGTGAGGGACGGCACCCTGAGGCTTGCTGGGAGTGGGGTGGCCTGGGGGACCCTAGATAGCCGGGAAGGCTGTTGTGCCCGTTGCCTTTGTGTGGGCCATTCCTGGGCTTGAGTAGGCTGAGCCAGCGACACTGAGCGGCATGGCTGCGTGTGTGCCTGTGCGTGCGTCTGTCTGTCTCTGGCCCCCAGCCCCAGAGCTCTTGGAGCAGAAGCCCTACGGGAAGGCCGTAGATGTGTGGGCACTGGGCGTCATCTCCTACATCCTGTGAGTTACTGCTGGGAAGGCTTGTCTCCTGCCTGCCTGCCTCTGCTGGGTTGGGGAGGGTGGGACAGCTGGGTGATTCATCTGTGGGTGCCAGGCTGTGTGGGTATCCCCCCTTCTACGACGAGAGCGACCCTGAACTCTTCAACCAGATCCTGAGGGCCAGCTATGAGTTTGACTCTCCTTTCTGGGATGACATCTCAGAATCAGGTGAGCTTCAGGCTGGCCCATGCTTGGGGGTGATGCAAGGGAGTGGGGACCCGATGGGCTGACCCAGCCTCCCTGCTCCAGCCAAAGACTTCATCCGGCACCTTCTGGAGCGAGACCCCCAGAAGAGGTTCACCTGCCAACAGGCCTTGCAGCATCTTTGGTGAGTGGGAGCCCTGCCGAGCTGCTTCAGGGCCAGGGGGACTGCACCTGCAGAGAGGCCCCCCCCCGACCTTCAGCCTTTCCCCAGGATCTCTGGGGACACAGCCTTCGACAGGGACATCTTAGGCTCTGTCAGTGAGCAGATCCAGAAGAACTTTGCTCGGATGCACTGGAAGGTCAGTGTGGAGACACCCAGTGTGGTCACCCGCTGCATCCCAGCTGTAGCCCGATCACTGTGACTGCCCAGTGGCCACTGTGGCCCTCACAGTCTTGGGGCTGGGGCCTGGCCCAGGCCTGGCCTGATCTCCCTCTCTTCTGGCAGCGAGCCTTCAATGCCACCTCATTCCTGCGCCACATCCGGAAGCTGGGGCAGAGCCCAGAGGCCGAGGGGGCCTCTGAGCAGGGCCTGGCCCGCCACAGCCACTCAGGCCTCCATACTGGCCAGCCCCCCAAGTGGTGATCCCCAGGTGTGTTTGAAGAGCTTAGAGGGTGGTGGCACTCCATGTGGCCAAGAGCTAAGTGGGGTGGCCCCCACAGGCCAGAGGGCTGAGGGCAGAGGGCAGAGGGAGGAGCCAGGGCCCCAGGAGAGGTGGAAGGACAGGGAGGGCCTGTGGGTGCCCGAGATTGGGCAAGGGAGTGAAGGGGGAGAGGGCCTCTAAGAAATCCAGGATTTGACCGAGGTGGGGGTGGGGGCACAGGGCTGGCAGGTCGGCTCCTAACTACCCCCTTTCCCTCTGCTTCTCGCTCTCAGGCAGATGCCAAGGCCAAGTGGACTGACCCCCAGATTTCCTTCCCTTGGATGCTTTTGGTCCCCTCCCCCAACCCTTCACCCCTGGGGCTGGCCTCTGCTGGAGTTTGAGATTTGAGGGTGTGGCGCATGGTGCTGGGGTTGGAATGGAGCACCCTCAAGTCTGTCCCCAGGCTCTGCCCTGCCTGGGGGCAGTGGATCCCCTCCCCTGTTGCCTCTCCCGCCCCTGCCCCCCACCCCACCAAAAGCCGAGGAGGTGCTGGCAGGCGGGCCTCAGGGGCTGTCTTTCCTGCATGGCTGTTCTGTGCTTCGCTGAGTGTGGGTGGTCCTGCTTGTGCCATGGTCATGGCCTTCCAGCCCCCTCCAGTTTTCCCCAAACCAATAAAGAAAGATACAGCAATGGGCCAGTGGTGAACTGGGGGTGCGGCGAGTGTGGAGGAGACCTGGTCACTTGTGGGAAGGAAACCAATGAGACCCTGCCACACGGCTTTACCCACTGCCACCTGAACCTCTGCTCCCTCTCATCGTGGCAGACAAGTTTCCAACTGTCCAAAAACTTCCTGTCCCCTCTCCCCAAAGCACCAACAAGTGACAGCGTGGCCAGGCAGCTCTGCCACCCCAGAGGTGTAACTGCCCAGCCTTGGGGTCCTGGGACAAAGTGGAGGCAGCACACGCCTGCTGGGCTGCCAGCAGGGGGCGCTGGCAGGAGGCTGAATGTGGCTCCAGACCCCCAGGGATGGGCTGCAGTGCCCCTGCCATGCAGGGCCGGGCCTGGAGTGCCTCAGCCAGGTGCCTGGGACTGGGAAGGGCTCACAGGTACATGGAGGGCGACCAGAGCCCAGAACTGTCACCTTCCATCCCTCCCTCCCTTCCCTTTCTTGATGGCCAGAGGCCATCTTGCCAAGCAGAAGAATAGGGAACCCCAGGGTCAGGGGGTGAGAGGAGCTCCTTGTCCAGGAGAGGGCCACACGGGGCCCTCTTCCCCTCTGCTGTGTGGGGGGCTTTGGAACCCTCAGGTTCCAGGCTGGGGTAGACCTGGGCTGGAAGCTGGGACTCTGGGAGCAGTGGCAGCTTGGCAGTGGCTTCTGAAGTGAAGAGCCGTGGCCTGTCCTCTGGTCTGAGTGGCCCCAGGCCCACCAACCTCCATTCTGGAGCGGCCAGGGCTCCAGAGCCCTGCCTTGCTGGGTCCCAAACCTCTGCTGGCCCCTCTAGCCCTTTCTCTTGGGCCCATCAGGGGAAGACCTCTAGAGCCACTCCTTGGCCCCAGCCAGAGTTCCAGGCAAGCTGGCCACCCCTCCCTACCTTCTGAGACCCTTGCTCCCTGCCAGCCCCCAGAGTGTAGCCTGATGACCCACGGCTTGACTGGAGAGAATGGTAGAGAAGATTACCCTCCCTGTTGAACTTTGGACCCCAAAGGGAGGCGGTGAGGGTCAAACCAAGGCTGGCCTGGGCCTTGTGGGTGAAGGCTGGAGTGGGGTTCAGGGTTGGAGCCAGGGGACCTGGCTTCCACCAGGGAGAACAGGCTGGAGGTGGGTGGGCAGCCTCCTCCTCCATCCCCACAGCCACTCCCAGGCCATCCTTCGCTCCAGACTCTGGGCCGCACAGGGGACCTCAGTCAGCCAGTACCATGGCCTCCTCACCTCCAAGACCTGTCCCACTTGCCCTCACCCGTACCCGGGGCCTTGTTGCCTGTGGGCACCCCTGCTGCGGGTCCCCCTTCCCATCTTCTCCGTTGTTCACACTGGACTCCCATGATACCTACTTGCTCTTGTTTTGGTCAGATGTTGACTGAGCCTCTACTCTGTGTCAGGTGCTGGGCGCTGAGTAGGTGCCTGCCCCCCAGGAGGACGCCCTCTATTTTAGGGGTGGTTTTACGGGGATGATAAAAATGATCTTTGTGGGTCTGGGAGCCGTGAGCAGGAGTGCCAGAGCCAACCTTCCAGAAGAAACCGGCACTTGCTCAGGAACAGCCAGCTCTTCCAGTCCAGGCACTTGGCCAGATCGCCTCCGCTTGGAGCTCAAGCCAGCTCTGGGCTGCCTTGACACAGGGTGCAATATGGCCTCCCGTCAGCAGGGGGAGCCACGGCCCCATCTTTAGACGTCCATTAGCCTCCCCTAGTTCCTTCAGCACCTGGGCAGCCTCTCAAACCCGTTCCTCTTTGCCACTGCCCCCACCCCACTCCCTGCAAATCCTGCCCTGGGGAAGTCCAACCTTGGGGGAGAGGTCCTGCCCATCTGTGATAGGGGTGAGAGGGGGAACCCCCAGGTCAAGCAGAGGTGGCACCCCTCCTTCATCCCTCCAAGACCCCATATGAGGAAGGCAATTTGGGTCCCTTAGGCAGTGGGATGGCAGCCAAGGAGAGAGAAAGGACTGGTTTAGCCAAAGGCAAAAGTGGTGTGTGTGTGAAGTGATGGCAAGGGAGCTGCGCTGGACCCTGTGAGGGCTTCTCAGGCTCAGGGCCGTTGCTGAGGCTGGCAGCAAGAGGAATGGGCCAGACCAATCCTGGCAGGGGAAGGAGCTGGAGCTGTAGTCTAGGAGCAGTGGGGAGCCATCGAAGGGGTTTTTAGCCAGAGAGCATTCTTGTCCAGTGTGGGTTAGGTGCTGAGCTGGGGCTGGCTGCTGGGAATTGGAGTGTCTGGAACCAGACCAGAATCGAGGGTCGGGGGAACCCTGGTGGGCATCACAAAAGGAAGCTGTCTCTGCTGTTCTGGGTCACACGGGGTGGGTCACGTGCTCCATCTTGAAGCAAACCTGTAGGTAGCAGAGTTTCAAGGGAAGCTCAACCTGTGGGTCCACCCTAGGGACAGGGAGACACGGAGGTGGTCCTAGGAGCTCTTTGGGAGTCACGTGGACAGGTCTTGTGATGGGTTGCAGGTAGGGAATGAAGCGAGAGGATCCCGGTAGGTCATGGTTCTGGCAGCAGAACATTCATCAAGAAGAGTTCAATGAGCATCACTTTGGGGGAGGAGTGATGAGATTGATTCTGGATGTGGTGAGTTCGAGTTGCCTGAGGGGTATGAAAGTAGACTTACTTTTCACCCTTCTCTTTGCAAATATGTGTCTAGCATTGTATCTAGTAGTTCTGGAAGGTTTATTCCTTGTAATAAAAAGAACACTGATCCCTCGAGCCCAGGAGTTTGAGACTAGCCTGAGTAAGATGGAGAGAACCTGTCTCTACAAAAAAAAAAAAAAAAAAGAAAAAAAAAAAAGCTAGTAACGACTCTTTATTGAAAAGCTTCCTATGTATTAACTTGAACCTCACCTGTGAGATAGCTGCTATCATGGTCATCATCCCCACTTCACATATGGAGAAACTGAGGCATAGAGAGGCTAAGTGAGCCAAAGTTACACAGCCTGTGGCAGAGTGAAGATTTGAACCCATGCTCTCCCACTGCATCCTCTTGCTTGCATCCATGCAAGCGAGGTCTTGCTTGGGACATAATTGTGTGGGGAATTGAAGAAAACAAGGCGGCATTTGTTCCCCACTTCTCTTTGTGAATGCAAACTCTGTGTGTCTGAAGGAAAGAGAACCCTGGGCTGGGGGACCCCACGCTGGATTTGAGTTTGGGTCTTGCACATGGTTTGTGTTGCCTTTTTTAAAAAATTTTTTTTATTTTTTACTTTTTTTTATGAGATGGAGTCTCACTATGTTGCCCAGGATGGAGTGCAGTGGCTATTCACTTCACAAGTGTGATGCTACTACTGATCAGCACACGAGTTTTGACCTACGCTGTTTCCGACCTGGGGTGGTTCACCCCTCCATAGGCAACCTAGTGGTCCTCTGCTCCCAGAATATTGATGCTGAACTTAGTATGGACACCTGATGGACATAGCACACTACAGCCCAGAACTCCTGGGTTCAAGTGATTCTCAACCTCCCGAGTAGCTAGGACTACAGCTGTGAGCCACCATGCCACCTGGCTTGTGTTGCCTTTAAGGTCCTCTGTGCCTCAATTTTATGTCCTGTTAAGTGGGAACCAGGGAGGTCTTTTCACAGTGGTGGAAATGGGGCATGGGAGCTGGGCCCTACAAAGATCCCTTTGGAGTTCGGTGTGAGCAACGGCCTGGAAGTGGGGCAGGGCAGGGCTGGTGGCTGGGAGACAAGCCTGAACCATGTATAGGACAAGGCAAGAGACGTGGGGCTACTGGAAGGATGGAGCTTGGTCATGGAGTCAATGGGAGTGGGAGGGGGGGAGTTGTGAGGGAGTTGAGGATGCTGCCAGGGAACCCAGGAGAGCAGCAGGTCTGTTGAAGAGATGAAGTGACCAAGTCAGGCCCCCTGGCCAGGTGGTGGCCGAGTTGGCACTATAAGCCACATGTTTCTTTCTGCCAGGCACTGTCTGGGCATGTGGTGACCATGTTCTCCACCCCACCCCAGCTTCATTCAGGGATCCCTATCACCAGCCCAACACGAGGTGGGCAAGATAAGAAGTATGGAATGTTTCAGAAATAACAAAGAATCCCGTCTGGTTGAGAGAGGTTGTGAGAGGAGGTGGGTAGAGATCAGCCTGGAAAGTGAACTTTCTCAAGAGGGCACTGGGCGCCACTGACGTTTTAAACAGAACAAGTGACAGGATCTGATTTTTGCTTTAAGAGAATTTTTCAGTATTTTTCAACCCTATTATCTGCCCCCTTTTGAGAAATAGAAAAAGCCCAGGCTTACTATCACGCTGGTCTTTGAAAAAACAAAAGCTCATGCCCATCTCTCCAGAGCTCCTCCCTCACACCCCATGGAGATTTCCATAGTTTCCCTCACCCCAGGGAGCCAAGTCTTTCCTCACATGATGCCCTGAGTAGAGGCTCAACTGCTTTTTGCCAGTTTCTCCTTGTAGTTCTTTCAATTATTGCTTTATGTATTTATAAGTTATGTTATTCAGTATATATGAGTTTAGAATTGGTATGTATTTTAGGTAAGTTGAATATTTGATCAAAATATAGTGATATACATTAATACTAGCAATGATTTTCCCTTCTAGTCTACTTGGTCTGATATTAACATAGCAACTATAACTTTTTTTGGTTAACATTTGACTGGTATATTTTTTTCAATCCTTTTCCGTTCAAATTAAAAATTTGTTTTTTATTGAGGTACAATTCACGTACCATAAAATTCACCCTGTAAAATGTACAATTCAGCAGTTTTTAGTGTATTTACAGTGTTTTGCCACCATCACCACTATCTAATTCCAGAACATTTTCATCACCCCGAAAGGAAACCTTGTATGCATTTGCAGTAGCTCCCTATTTACAACCCCCCCCCCAGTGTTTGGCAACCACTAATTGACTTTCTATCTGTGGATTTGCTTGTTTCAATATTTCAAATTAATGAAATCATACCATACGTGGACTTTTGTGTCTGGCTTACCCTTACTATGATGTTTTCAGTGTTCATCCATATTGTAGCATGGATCAGTACTTCATTCTTTTTTACAGCTGAAGAATATTTTACTGTATGGATAGACCACATTTTATTAATCATTGATGGACATTTGGGTTGTTTCCACTTTTAGCTATTGTGAATAATAGTGCTATGAACAATTGTGTGCAAGTTTTTGTGTGGATGTGTATTTTCAATTGTCTTGAGTATACACCTAGGAGTACTATTGTTGGGCCATATGATAACTCCATGTTTAACTTTTGAAGGAAATGCCAAGCCATTTTCCAAAGCAACAGCACCATTTTACATTCCCACCAGCAATGCATGTGGTTCAAATTTCTCTCCATCCTTGTCAACACTTGTTATTGTGCGTGATTTTTAAAATAGCCATCCTAGTGTGTGTGAAATGGTATCTCATTGTGGTTTTGATTTGTATTGCTCTAATGACCAATGATATTGAGCATCTTTTCATGTACTTATTAGTCATTTGTATATCTTATTTGGAAAAATGTTCATTCAAAACTTCTGTTCATTTTTTAATTGGATAATTTATCTTTTTATTGATGAGCTGTAAGGGTTCTTTATGTATTCTGGATATTAGATCCTTATCAGATATATGATTTGTAAATATTTTCTCCCATTCTGTGGATTATCTTTTCACTCTTTGATAGTGTCTTTTGAGGCACATGGGTTTTTTTGTTTGTTTGTTTTTTGTTTTGTTTTTTTTTTTGAGACAGAGTTTCACTGTTGTCACCCAGGCTGGAGTGCAATGGCACGATCTTGGCTCACTGCAACCTTCGCCTCCCAGGTTCAAATGATTCTCCTGTCTCAGTCTCCCAAGTAGCTGGGATTGCAGATGCCTGCCACCATGGCTGGCTAATTTTTTTGTATTTTTAGTAGAGACAAGGTTTCACCATGTTGGCCAGGCTGGTCTCGAACTTCTGACCTCAGGTGATTTGCCCGTCTCAGCCTCCCAAAGTGCTGGGGTTACAGGCGTGAGCCACCGTGCCCAGCCAGAGAGTGTTGCTATGTTAAAACAATATTGTTTTCCAATCCATGAACACAGAATATCATTCCACTTATTTTGTTCTTTAATTTTTTAAATGATCTTTTACAGTTTTCAGTGTATACATTTCGCACTTCTTTTGTTGTTAAATTTATTTGTGGATTTTATTCTTTGTATGCTCTTGTACACAGAATTGTTTTCATAATTTCATTTTTGAATTGTTCATTAAAAGTGTATAGAAATAACCATTGATTTTTAAAAATATATTGATCTTGTATTCTGTGGCCTTCCTAAACTTTTTATTAGTTCTCGCTCTATCTCTCTCTTTTGACGGGGGACCAGGGTCTTGCTCTGTCACCCAGGCTAGAGGCCGGAGTGCAGTGGTGCAATCACAGCTCACTGCGGTCTTGAACTCCTGGGCTCAAGCAAATCCTCCCTTCTCAGCCTCCAGAGTAGCTGGGACTACAGGAGCAGGCCACCATGTTAGGTTCTAATTTACTTTATTTTATTTTATTTTTAGAGATGGAGTCTCACTATGCTGCACACGCTGGTGTTGAACTCCTGGGCTCAAGTAATCCTCCTGCCTCAGCCTCCCAAAGCACTGGGATTATAGGCATAAGCCACCATGCCTGGCCCTTTTTATTAGTTCTAATAGGTTTTATTTGTGTGGATTCTTTGTGATTTTCTACACACAGCACGTGTCATCTGCAAGTAAAGAGAATTTTACTTATTCCTTTCTAATTGGGATGCTTATTTCCTTGTTCCCTTCCTTTTCTCTCTTTTTTCTTTTTGTTTCTCCTGCTTATTGCACTACCAAGAACCTCCAATACTACATTAAATACAAGTGGTAAAAGAATCCTTTCCTTGTTCCTAATCTTAGAGGGAAAACGTTTAGTCTTTCATCATTAAGTGTCATGTTAGCTGTGGATTTTTCGTAGATGCCCTTTGTCATGAGTAACTTCCATTCTGTTCCTGTTCCTAGTTTGTAGAAAGGTGTTTTTTTTTTGTTTTGTTTTGTTTTGTTTTTTGTTTTGTTTTGTTTTGTTTTGTTTTTTCACTGGGCTTTCCTGAGTTTATTTGGGGCACACCCGGGCGAGGCCCCTGCGCCCAGAAGAAGGTGTTGGGCCTCTTGGTGATGAGGCGTGATTTGTGCTGACGGCGCAGGACCCGGTGGGGCAGCGGGAACTTGATCTTGGAGTCGTGAAACTGCTTGATGGCCGACCAGCGGCACTTGCTGGCTGCGATCTCCCTCACCTTCATGATCTGGATGGAGTGGACCCGGGCGCCATGCCGGGCGCCCATGTCTCAGTAGCACTGGGTGACAGCCCCGCGGTGGTCAGGTCCCGGTATTCCCGGTACATGTTGTGGGTGCCGCTCCGGGAGTCATAGCGCAGCCAGATGCCGAAGTTCTTCACCCGCAGGGGGCGCTTCTCAAACACCTGCCCACAGTAGACAATCTCCCCTGAAGACTTCTTAATCTTAATCTTTAACTGAGATACGAAGTGCCGGAAGGGGGACTCGGCAACGACATGATTAGGCGCAAAGATTCGCATGCGGTAAAGAGGCGGTGTGTGGCATTTGGGGGTGGGCAGGCAGCGACCCACCACCTTGTACTCTTGTAGTGCGCTCGGGACCTTCATGGCGTCCTCTGCGCTCGCCGCCACCCGCAAAAGGACTGTTTCAAGTCATGAATGGATGTTAGATTCTGTCGAATCTTTTTATGCACCTATTGAGAGGATCATGTGGTTTTTGTCCTTTTTCTGTTAATGTGGTGTGTTACACTGAGTTTCAGATGTTAAATCAAGCTTGTATTCTTGGTATAAATCCCACTTGATGATGGTGTCTAATCCTTATGTGCTGCTAGATTTAGTTTTTAAATATTGTGTTAAAGATTTTTGCATCCAGGAGTTCATGAAGCATATTGAGATGTAGTTGTTTCCTTGTGATATCCTTGGTATGAGGGTAATACTGGGCTGATAGGATGAGATAGGAAGTGTTCCTACTCCTCTATTTTCTGAGAGTCTGTGAAGGATTGGCGTTCATCATTCTTCAGTTATTTGATAGAATTCACCAGTGAAGCCATCTGGGCTTGGATTTTCTTTGTGGGAATATTTTCAATTACTAATTCAATTTATTTGCTTGGTATAAGTCTATTCAGATTTTTAATTTATTTTAAAGTCAGTTTTGGTCATGTGTCTTTCTAGGAATTTCTCCATTTCATCTGAGTTGTCCAATTTTTTTGGCATGAAGTCATCAAAGCATTCTCTTATAATCCTTTAAATTTCTATAGGTCAGTAGTAATGCCCCCCTTTTCTCTTCTTTTTTTTTTTTTTTTTTTTTTTTTTTTTTTTTTTTTTGAGACAGAGTCTCGCTCTGTCGCCCAGGCTGGAGTGCAGTGGCGCAATCTCGGCTCACTGCAAGCTCCGCCTCCCGGGTTCACGCCATTCTCCTGCCTCAGCCTCCTGAGTAGCTGGGACTACAGGCGCCCGCCACCGCGCCCGGCTAATTTTTTTGTATTTTTAGTAGAAACGGGGTTTCACCGTGGTCTCGATCTCCTGACCTTGTGATCCGCCCGCCTCGGCCTCCCAAAGTGCTGGGATTACAGGCGTGAGCCACCGCGCCCGGTCCCCCTTTTCTCTTCTTGATCTTGGTAATTTGATTCTCTTTTCTTTTTGGTCACTCTAGCCAAGATCAATTTTGCTGATTTTTCAAAGAGCTGACTTTTGTTTTCATTGATTTTTCTCTATTGTTTTCCTGTTTTCAATTCCATTAGTTTCTGTGCTAATCTTTATTTCCTTCCTTCTGCTTGCTTTGGATTTAGTATGCTCTTCTTTTTCTAGTTTGTCAAGGTAGATGCAAGGTTATTAATTTGAGATCTTTCTTTTTTTGCTGGTGTAGGCCTTTAAAGCTGTAAGTTTCCCTCTGAGTACTGCTTTAGCTGCAGTCCATAGATTTTGATATGTTGTGTTTTCATTTTCATTCTCTTCAGGCTTTTCTAATTTCCTTTGTTTTTTCTTTGACTAGCCAGTTATTTAGAAGAGTGTTGCATAATTTCCAAGTATTTTGGACTTCCTAGGTTTCTATCTTTTTGGATTTATAATTTAATTCTCTTGCGGTCAGAGAACATATTTTATATTATTTAAATTCCTTTAAATATATTGAGACTTGTTTTATGACCTAGGTTATGGTCTATCCTGGAGAATGTTTCATGTGCACTTGAAAAAAATGTGTACTTGGCAATTGTTGAATGGTGTGTTCTATAGGTATCAGTTAGGTCAAATTTGTTGATAGTATTGTTCAGATTTTATATATCCTTGCTGATGTTCTGTGTAGTCCTATCAACTATTGAAAATAGAGCATTGAAATGTCCATATGTTATATTTGAATTTTATTTTGTATTTTTAGTAGAGACGGGATTTCCCCATGTTGGCCAGGCTGGTCTCGAACTCCTGACCTCAAGTGATCCACCCACCTCGGCCTCACAAAGTGCTGGGATTATAGATGTGAGCCACTGCGCTGGCCAATTTTCCTCTGTTGATTTTTAATTACATTGAAGCAGAAATTTAGACATAAATAGGCATTCATTCACTCCAAGTTTGAGTTATTTTCTTAGGGTTTTCTCTAGCGATTACATTATGAGTCTTAACTAATCACAATCCACCTCAGGTGACTACTCACTTAATTTTGGTGAAATATGGAGACTTTGCCCCAGTATGGCTACATTCTTTCCCACTTCTTTTGAGCTAGTAATGCCATGTATATTACATCTATATAGGTTATAAACCCTGAAATACAGTGTAATACCTTTTTTAAATGCAATCTTACGTTTTTAAAAGAAAGTAAATGAATAAAAATATGTTGAGTGGCTTTTATATTAGCTCACTTTTAAACCATTTTTTCTGCTTTCCATTTCTTACTTTGAATTCCAGTTACTAACTGGTGTCATTTCCTTTCAGCCTGAAGGACTTCCTTGAGTATTTCTTGTAATGAGGCATGCTAGCAATGAACTACGTCAGCCTTTGTTTATCTGGGAATGTCTTTTTTTAAACCTTCAATTTTTTTTTTTTTTTTTGAGATGGAGTCTCTCTCTGTTGCCCAGGCTGGAGTGCAGTGGCGTGATCTCAGCTCACTGCAACCTCTGCCTCCCAGGTTCAAGCGATTCTTGTGCCTCAGTGTCCCGAGTAGCTGGGATTACAGGTGCATGCCACCACGTCTGGCTAATTATTGTATTTTTAGTAGAGATGGGGTTTCACCATGTTGGTCAGGTTGGTCTCAAACTGTTGACCTCAGGTGATCCGCCTGCCTTGGCCTCCTAAAGTGTCGAGATTACAGGCGTGAGCCAACACACCCAGCTAAACCTTCAATTTTTAAAGTATAGTTTTGCTAGATATAAAATTTGAGGGCTGTTTGCAGTAGTTCACACCTGTAATCTCAGCACTTTGGGAGGCTGAGGCAGGCAGATCATTTGAGCCCAGGAGGTTGAGGCTGCGATGAGCTGAGATCACACCACTGCACTCCAGCCTGGGTGACAGACTGAGACTGTCTCAAAACAAATTTTTTTTTTTTTAGTTGATAGTATTTTTTTTTTCGATGCTTTCAGTTTGTCATTCCACTCCCTTCTGGCCTCCATTGTTCCTGATGATAAGTCAGATGTTAATTTTATTGCGGTTCCCTTTTATGTGGGTCATTTATTTCTTCTGCTATAATACTTTCAAAATTGTCTGTCTTTGGCTTTCAATAATTCAACCACGAAATGTCTATGAGTGGCTCTCTTTGTGTTTATCTTACTTGGGGTTAATCTAACTTCTTGTATCCGATTAATGCTTTTCACCAAACGCTGGTGTTTAGCCATTATTTATTCAAATATTTATTCTGCCCCTTTCTCTTTCTCCTCTTCCTCAGAGCCTCCAATTACATATATCAAAATATGTGTTCAGTTTTAAGTCTGTTCCGCTTGTACTTGTTGTTAGGAGACACTGATGACTTCTGGGCTTCTTACATGTTGGACCAGAAACTGAAACTCCTCTGGGTCTGTTTTCATTGGCGGATTTTTCTTCTCATTATGGGATCCTTTTTTTTTTTTTTTTTGAGATGGAGTCTCTGTCACCCAGGCTGGAGTGCACTAGTGTGATCACGGCTCACTACAACCTCCACCTCCTGAGCTCAAGCAATAAGCAATCCTCCTGATGCAGCCTCCCGAGTAGCTGGGACTATACGTGTGCACCACCACACCTGGCTAATTTTTTGTGTTTTTTGTAGAGATGGGGTTTTGCCATACTTTCCAGAGTGGTCTTGAACTCCTGGGCTAAAGCAATCCATATGGGCCACATTTTTATGTCTCTTCTACCTGAGTCAGAAAGCCGGGACGTAGAGCTCTCCTAGTCTGTCTCCTTTCTCTCAGGGACCACAGTCCTTCACTGATTGCTGTCCCCCATCTGAAAACAATGGATTTTCATATATTTTGCCCAGTTTCTAGCTGTTTATGGTGAGACGGTAATTCTGGACCCTCTTATTTCCTCATGGCCGTATTGATATTGAGTGACTTTACGTTTTGTTAAGACAAATATGCATGTTAACTTTTTTAGAGTAACTAGAATATAAATAGGATGTACTACTTCCAAACTAGTAGAAGAAAATAGCAGATAATGAAGGAAAATATCAGTTAATCAAATAAAGGTCAAGTAAGGGAAATAAAGAAATGGAAATAGGCCGGGCCTGGTGGCTCATGCCTGTAATCCCAGCACTTTGGGAGGCCGAGGCGGGCTGATCATGAAGTCAGGAGATCGAGACTATTCTGACTAATATGGTGAAACCCTGTCTCTACTAAAAATGCAAAAAAATTAGCCGGGCGTGGTGGCGGGCGCCTGTAGTCCCAGCTACTCGGGAGGCTGAGGCAGGAGAATGGCATGAACCCGGGAGGCAGAGCTTGCAGTGAGCTGAGATCCGGCCACTCCACTCCAGCCTGGGTGACAGAGCGAGACTCCGTCCCAAAAAAAAAAAAAAAAAAAAAAAAGAAACGGAAACATTGGAATAAGTAGAAAGTATAACATAATATGTTAAAAATAGATCCAAAAAGCATTAAGCAAAATAAATAGATTAAATTATCCAGTTAGGATTAAAAAAAAATCCAGCTATAAGCTGTTTGTAAGAGATACATCTAAAAGAACAGGGCTGAAAAAGGCTGAAAGGGCAGGACTGGCTGGGCACAGTGGTGGCTCATGCCTGAAATCCCAGCACTTGGGGAGGCCAAGGGGGGAAGATCACTTGAGCCCAGGAGTTTGAGACCAGTTTAGGCAACATAGTGAGACCCCCATCTCCACAAAAAAATAAAAAAAAATTAGTTGGGCGTGGTGGTGCGAACCTGTGGTCCCAACTACTTGGGAGACTGAGGCAGGAGGATCACTTGAACCGGGAGGTTGAGGCTGTTGTGAGCTGTGATTTTGCCACTGTACTCCAGCCTGGGTTGACTGAGTGAGACCCTGTCTGAAAAAAAAAAAAAAAAAAATAGAGAGAGAGAGAAGAAAAGAAAAAGAAAGGGCAGGACCTCCAGCTGTGGCCAAATGTGGATATCAGCAAACAACCTCCCCAAGAAAGTAACCATAAAGCTGGACCAAATTGACAAAAACAAGCTTTTTGATCT